AAGTAACGTCCTCCACAACTAGACTGAAGAACAAAAGGACAGCAACTTGTCTGTTCCTCTTCCCCCAATTCCCCAGCGCTGTTCCCATCCCCCCAATTCCCCAATAAAAATCTTTTAAAAAAAAAAGTTGCTTTATGTCCCTGGGGCTTAAAAGCTAAAGAATCATCTTGATGTTTGAACCTATGCCATGTTCAGCACAACTCAGTGTTGGATTTCTTTTGCTGCCTAGAAGGCCAGACACTGTCGGTTGTTTACCAGTAATGCTCTTGCAAGCTGCTCTAATGAATCTGGCATTCTATGAATTGAAGAAGAGGAGAAACCCTTGGCTGTAGCTAGCAAGGAAGGACAGCCTTGAGCAAGCTTGCTCACTTGAAGTTTGCCCGTATATATTTTCTTTGCTTTGGTGCTTTTGACTGCAGGAATCGTCTGTCATTTCCTGGCCTACCTCCCCCGTGGTCCTTTTCCCTAGGGTGACCAGCCGAGAAGGTCACATCCCAACTCCTCCCAGGAGCAACAGTGTTTAGGAGAGTGGAAATGCCAAAGAGGAATTGAGGATTTCTGTAGTGCTAACCTGAATATCAAGTTCCTATGCAAATACAGTATTAACTCTGTAGGAAAGGATGTGGGAGAAAAAGAAAGAAGGAACAGCAAGATTCTGCACAGGTAAATCTTCTAAACAGTGTAGCTACTGCAGTATAGAATCTAAATGTGTAAACACAAAACAGAATAACTTCTACTTTTAGGAGAAGAAACTTTGAGCTTAGATATCCCAAAGAGAAAAGAACCATAAGAAAATTTCAGCTTGCCCACAAGCAAGGAAACATAATGAAGTAAAAGCCCCTTGGGTCATCCTGCCACAATCTCAAGGTCATTTCAGAAATCAGATCCACAGAATAGAAGCTCAGATAAGCACTGTGGGCGTAACTGGCTGCATAGTCCCACCTCCAAGTGACACCTATGACAGCCTAAAATTTCCTCCAGGTGTAACCAATGGTAGATGCACCTCCTTCATCGTAAGAACTGGACCTCTCTCTGTTACAAAATGGTATTCACTAGCAAAAAGGACTTTTTAGGACCCAGGAGCTTTCACCCTGATAACTGAAATAAACTGCCTGTAATTAGTGAGGCAGATTCTTTTCAGCAGTATATCTGGTTTCAAGTGTCTGAAATGGTTCTGACTAAACTATGCAAAATGGCTATCTGACATTGGAAAAGTTCCTTAACATTTCATTTCAGTTTCTTCAATTTTAAAGCAAGAGTATTGGACAAGGTGGTCTCTAAGGTCACTCTTACTTTCTAAACACTATTTCTCTGTCTCGATGATAAACCTGATTATGTATATGAGATCAACAATTAAGTTTCCGAACTTGCCAACGTGCGCTTACATTGGCAGCACTGTACAAACAGCTCAGTTTCATAACCTTGGTATGTCAATGTCTCACAGCTGTGTTCGTGTTGACACATGGCAGTGCCTTGCTGAGTGGTATCACTGTTGTGTGTTTTTGTGTGTTGTCATGAGAATATCTGAGTTTTAATTAGAGCAATGAACAAACATTAAATTTCTTGTTAAACTTGGCAAGTTTATTAGTCCAAGTTTATGGGGATAATGCCATGAAGAAAATGGCACTGTACAAATGGATTAGACGTTCTTCTGAGGGGAGAGAACACATCACTGATGAAGAGAGGTCAGGGTGACCAATAACAAGCAAAACTGATGAAAACATTGCAAAAAATCATCAAACTGTGCATCAAAATCGTCCGCTGACTGTGAGAAGCATAGCCGACTGCCGCGTCCCGCGCAGGAAGGGCGGTGGGGAGCGAGAGGGTTAAAGAAGCACAAGAGTCAAGTACAGAGTTAAAGCGGGGCCAGGGGGCTACAGCCGCTCAGGGACTGAGCTCCGAATCGGGCCAACGCATAGCTCTTCTGGAGAAACTTCAAAGAGGTGAAACTTGTTTATTCTAAAGTCCGTGTACTACATGCCTTATGGCTGTTTTCCATCAACCTGCCCCATTGTATTCCAACACGTGCTGTGCCTTCATACTCTCACACACACAACCCCCAGGATGGCATCGCTGTACTGCGACCATAAAGGTAAGGGAGATAACCGATATTCCATCAGGTCTCGGCATTCCGAAACACCCCCTTGAGGAAGCTTTACTGATATCATTCCATCGGGTCTTAGCATTCTGAGACACTTCTTCGTGACCTCATTAGGTCAGGAGTTGAGGGGGGCAGGGCGTCGACGTAGAAGTAAGGCAACATCTCCCCCTTTCTGTTTTTGCAGAAGGAGAAACACAGACTTTGCAGTTTCTTCATCTATTGCCCGCCAGAGGGCTTGTTGTCCACATCTGATGACTAAACAAAACAATAATAGAATAATCAATAAAAGTATAAGAGCACTGGCAAGTCCTCCACCTAGACTTTTCACCCAAGTAAGGGGCTTTAGAGTACAGAGTCCTGCAGCGGCGGAAAGGACGTTCTCTCCTGGGAGGAGCTGGAGATTAGCAGAAGACATTTGATCCACTTCTTGTTGCAACTGTAGGATATCTACAGTCAGGTTGGGTATATGTCCCAAGAGATGAGCTTGTACCTCCGACCACAGGGTACGTGTCTCATTGTAAGAAAAGAGTTATACAGTAAGTGGAAACATTCCAATCACATTTTAAGGTAATCATGATACAGAGACTTTCTAACTGGTCTTCAAGAGAAACAGTTGTTTCTAAATCAGCTAATCGTATGCTGATTTCTTGATCAATTCTAATCGTCTGGATTCCAAGTTTTGCCAGCATTTTCATGCCATTGTTGTACAAATTGGATAGTCTGCACCGTCTGGTGAAGAGCTACTTCAGGGACAGCAGCAACAGTGGTTATAGCTATTATTCCCATAATGGTTGCTATTAAAAGACCAGTAAATATGTTAGTCCTATGTAAAATCTTATGAAGGAGTTGTAAAACAACATGAACTGTTGGGGAACCTTCCCACACCCTAGAGGCTTGGACAGGGAGCCATAATCCTCGTCTTTGTCTCAGTATCATAATCTGGTCATGGGAGGTTCCAAAAATTGAGGATTGAGACAAATATAAACGACATTGAGGGCATTCAACCACTTTTGCAGTCTGATTAATAGTGAATTTTCCTGTTAAGAAAACAAAGTTTTAAGGCAAACTTGTAAATATAGCATTTCTGTCATTTCAAACCGAAAGAATAAATTTTTATTAGTATTTTTAGTGAGATTTTCTGTCCATATTTTATTTGGTTCAATGCTTAAAGCTACTTTCCATAAGGTCCTTTGAAATGGGCTCCGGATGCGTTTAATCATTCTTTTTTTTTTTTAATTGGGGAATTGGGGGGATGGGAACAGCGCTGGGGAATTGGGGGAAGAGGAACAGACAAGTTGCTGTCCTTTTGTTCTTCAGTCTAGTTGTGGAGGACGTTGCTTCACTGGCCCAAGTTGGCACCATCATTGAGCTCTTCCCGGGCGAGGCAGATCAGTCGCCAGATTCTGGATGGCCACTCACAGCGGCTGCTGGCCGCTCACGCTGGCTGCCGGCTACACATGGTAGCTTATGGCAACCCACTGCAGCAGAGGCTGCAGCCCACGCCGTCACCTGTGACTCATGGCAGCCCAGCTCCAGGTTGAGCTGTTGTTCAGCATCTTAGCTGTGGAGGGCAGTGTCACTGGCCCTCATATGTGGGATCTGAACCAGGGCCCTCTGGCATCCCAAGCCAGCTCTTAACCAACGCTCCACTCGGCCGGCCCACATTTAATCATTCTTAACTGAGGTGGGGCAAGAGCCCTATCTTTTAAAAAAAATAGAAATATTAAATGGAGACTCAGTGATTCAGGGAAAGCCATAATAGGATATCTGTCTCCTCATTTGTTGAGGTTCAGAACACTTTAAACGGGAAAAGAAACGAATGGCAGCCCCAAAGGGACCCCAGTCAACAATGGTTTCATAATTGTTGACTACTACCCTGTACAGGCTTCCCCGACATTCATCCCAGTAGATTCGAGATTCATTTTTATCCCAGTGATTTTTTAGAGGACAGGTAGGGGTCAGGGGAGGGAAGTTATGAGTGCTAACTTGTTGGGTAACAAATCTTTTTTCCAGTGATCATAAGTCCCTGTAAGTGTCATTTTCCTTTCCACTGGGTATAGCCCAGGCTTGATTGGAAAGAGGTAGAAACGGAGGAATAGAACCAATACATATAGGTGTATTTAAATAGCCCAAGGATGTGTGGCCATAAAGAGTAAAATTTCATCCTTCTTAGGAAATTACAGACCCCTTGGATCCTCAGGTTCAGGGAACCAAGAACTATCATTGATATAAATCAGAGGAGGATCATCATTCCAAGTTACAGGAGTTAATAGTGGGGGATTGGGTATATAAATCCAATAAGTAAAATTATCGTTGAAACACTAAGTGGAAGACAACTTACAACAGTGAAGACTGCCAACATGGACACTAGCATATTGGTTTCTATTTTAGGAATATTTTCTTCCATCAGCCGGTGTTCAGCTACTTGTGTTAGCTTTTTTAATTGCCCCCAGGTAGGAAGAGAAGCACTCTTCATTCGCGGGGTTACCATACGAGATGCAGAGGAGGTTGTTGGCTTTGGACAGACTGGTTGAAACGAGAGATTAGACATCTCAATCATTGGAGGTTCCTCATACTCCGATCTGGACCAGTCGGGGGACCAATCATATCTCACGATCTTTGGCCGTATCGGCTTCCTTTTCTTTGGTGTGTTGCTCATGGTACCGTTTGACACACCGGCCAGGTACCCACAAAGGACGTTCTTCTGGACCTGGAAAAATACAAGCAAAGCCTCGTCCCCATGTCATTAAAGTTCCTAAATGCCATTGATTAATCTGAATGTCTTTCCACCAAATGGGCACATTTTCCAGTGACCTTGGGCTGTTATGAAAACGTCTTTCAGCTGCAGTTTGCCCAAGGTGTGGTTCCATGCTTGAACTAGATGAATTCAAAAAATTTAAAGTAAACATAACTTTTGCCAGTTGCCCCTGTGGGGTTTCTCTTAGGTCTCCCCCTTTCTGTTTTTGCAACTGTTTCTTTAAGGTTGAATTAGCACATTCCACAATGGCTTGATCCTGTGGGTTGTAAGGGATGCCTGTGGTATGAGTAATACACCAAGTGGCCAAAAGCTTGCAAACTTAGAACTGGTGTAAGCAGGCCTATTGTCTGTTTTAATGTTCTTAGGGAGGCCCGTAATAGAAAAACAGGTTAATAAATGACAGCAAGAGTGGCCTACTGTCTCACCTGTCTGAACTGTAGCCACAAGAAAGCCAGAGGCAGTATCGATAGTAACATGTACGAATGAGGATTTTCTAAAGGCGGGGACGTGACTAATGTCCATTTGCCAGATATCATTAGGAACGAGACCTCGAGGATTTACTCCTTCAGGACATTCCTGAAGTGCATTAAGGATCTGACAGGTAGGGCACGTCTGTATTTTTTTAATTTTTTTATGGGAGAGTGCGAACGCAGTCCCCCATTACCACAAATTATGCAGTCGAGTTTCCCACATTTGGGGAAATCGCAGGGGTCAGCACATCCGGAGTGCAATGGATAAGCCTCGCCCTGGGAAAACCACCTTCGTGATCATTGTATCTCCCCTGCCAGGTAATGGGCACGTCTGTATTATATGACGAGGCTGTTTGTTTGTGATAGAGAAACCTGAACGCAGACCACCCGCATTAGTATGAGTTAAAGAATGAAAATACGTTTCCTCAGCAACTTGGACACTAAGGAATCAGCAATCGAATTGTCTTGTGTCATCGGACCCAGCAGGGTAGTATGCACATGAATGTGCATGATAAAGAAGGGGTGCTGGCGGTTTCTCACAACCTGCTAGTGTTGACTAAATAAAATTTGAAGAGACGGGTTTGAATTATAAAATAGAGACGCCGTCTCAATGTTCTGTACTGTATGAACTACATAAGCCGAATTAGAAACAATATTCAGAGGGTCAGAAAATGTTTGCAAAGCAGTTAATACCGCTACTAACTCAGCCCATTGAGCCAAAGTGTAATATGTGTGTATAAGCTGATGACCTTTCTCACTGACAATTGCTGCTTTGCCATTGCTAGATCCATCAGTGAAAACTGTCAGACCCTGAGAAATAGGTGTCTGCCTAAGTTTTTTAGGTAAAATCCAATTAGTTTTTTGCAGAAACTGAAACAATTTGTTCTTAGGATAACGATTGTCAATAATCCTGTAAAAGTCACTAATGGCAATTTGCCAACACTCAGCATGAGTATTCAAATGAGATATTTGTTGTTTCTTAAAAGGAACTACAATTTGATTAGTCTCTTTCCCATTAAGATGAAGGACTCTGGTCCAAGCTCTTGATATGAGTTCAGAAATTAACTCCACATAGGTAGGAAGAGATTTAACAAAATTGTTAGGTAAAAAAAGCCACTCAACCAGATCATCTTGTTGTACAATAACCACTGTAGGCGAATGTGGCGTAGAGAAAATTAAAATCTGTAAAGGTTGACAGGGATCCACACGTTGTATTTGAGCTTCTTGTATTTTTTTGCTCAACAAATTCTAATTCCTGATTAGCTTGAGGGGTTAATTTGCAAAGACTATCGAGCCTTGGAGGTCCTCGTAAAAGGCCAAACAAATTACTGAGAGCATAGTTAGGAACACCTAGAGTGAGGACGTAGCCAATTAATATCTCCTAATAATTTTTGTAACTCATTTAAAGTAGAAACCTGGTCTCTTCTGATTTGAACTTTTTGAGGTCTGATAGACAGTCTGTCCACAACAGCACCCAAATACTGTACCGGTGTGGTTGTTTGAATTTTATTTGGAGCAATGTAAAGTCCTGCTAAATCAAGCTGCTTTTTAAGTAATTCAAAACATGCAGCCAGCTGCTCCTTTGAGGATGCAGCACAGAGTATGTCATCCATATAATGAATGATATAACAATCAGAAAACTCAGTTCTTACTGGTATAAGAGCTTGAGCTACAAAAAGCTGACAAATGGTTGTGCTATTTGCATTCCCTGTGGAAGTACCTTCCACTGATATCTCCTCATAGGTTCTTTATTGTTAGTTGAGGGAATTGAAAATGCAAATTGAGGGCAATCTTGAGGATGTAAAGGGATTGTATAAAAACAACCCTGTAAATCAATAACTATGAAAGGCCAATTTTTGGGGATCATAGTAGGTTGTAGGAGTCCAGGCTGCAATGCGTCCATGGGCTCTATAACAGCATATACAGCTCTGAGATCTGTGAGCATTTGCCATTTTCCTGATTTTTTTTCTTAATGACAAATACTGGAGAGATCCAGGGACTAATAAAAGGTTCTATATGACCTTGTTCTAATTGATTCTGTACTAATTCTGTTAAGGCCTCTAAGTTTTCCAGAGAGAGGGGCCACTGTTCTATCCAGAGAGGCTTACTATTAGTCCATTTAAGAGGTACAGGAGTTCATAGCTCCGCAACAGTGGCCCCCATAAAAAAGGCTTTTGCTGGTCTGACTTATAACCTAGTCCTTCTGTTCCCTGCTGTAATGAAGGCTGAATAGGCTGAGTAATTCCCTGATTAAATCTTCCTAACCCTTTTCCTGGCTGAAATCCCATTTGATTCATCACCTTTTGACTTTGCGGGGCGATACTGTCTGGGAGGGATCCAAATTTCTGCCTCCCATTGTGTAAGTAAATCTCGACCCCATAAATTGACTGGAATGTCAGCAACATAGGGTTGTAAAAATCTTTGTTGGGGCCGGCCGAGTGGCGCATTGGTTAAGAACTCGCTTGGGATGCCAG